GATAAGAAGAAATCCGTTGTTACCAAAGTAGGTGAGAAAACTTGGCACGACCCGACGAAAGCTGTCGGCTTGTTTTCTGGCAAAGCTTACAACCGTCCGTGTCGGACATTAGGAAGCCGCAAAATTCGCTTAGCAACACACAATGGTAGAATAGTAGATAGAATAAATACGGGCGATGCGGACATCTTATCCTTGCCGTTTCAACAAGCCGACTGTCCCGCGTATCCATAATCCCTAAATCAACTGGGCGTTATTTCCACAGAGAACAGCGAGAGAGAGAGAGAGAGAGAGAGAGAAAGTAACACAATATATACATAGAATAAATTTAAGTAAGTACATTTCATGGTGCAAATGTCGGTACTTCGATATTCACATTTTCGTCGCATCTCGTTACGATTCGTCTTGTAAAATATTTGCTTCATTCTCGACATGAGGTCACACATTAAACACGCGTAGAAAAAACGTGCTCGAGTTAAATCGAGAGCACGTGTGTGTTCCGTCACATTCGTTAATGAAATTTAAATATTCTAGAACTTGTCTAAAATTATCAAAAGAATAATCAAGCTCGCATCTCTTTAGTGTAAATAATATATATACATCGTATAATCAATTCTATTAAATATGAATTTACAAGATCATTTTTAATAAAAGATGTATTAGATAATAATGTCGTGATACACTCGCAAAAATGGACGGGATAAACTCGCGTAAACGACTCGTGATATAATAACGTTACGTAACAACGATACGACAAAGCCTATACTGTTCTCTATGTAAATTCTCGCGCTTGCGATGCTGAATCCGTTATTCAGATCCGTCTTTGTAACACGGACGACGCCTTCTTCGTGTTATCGAGAAGTTAAGTGCGGCACGAGCCTTGGGGTCGGGCGCATCGGTTAATGAACAAAAGGCCGGGAAGAGAGCGAGAGCTTCTACTTATATTACGTTGCAGTTACAAAGGCTAAGCAGGAGAGTACGGAAACTTCCCTATGACGTGCGCGCGCCCGCCCCCGTCATATATTTATAGTATAAATATCGTCGCGCGCGCGAAGAGATTCTCTCCGGTCTCGTGTCACGAACTCGGCCCGATTTCCGCCGGTGCTCGACAATAGAGAGACGAGTGAGGCGAATCGAAAACCGGTCTCTATTAATAATAGCGAGAGCTCGAATATATATATATATATATATCTCTCTCTCTCTCTCTCTCTCTCTTTCTCTCTCTTTCTCTATCTCTATCTATCTATCTATCTATCTATCTATCTCTTGGAATGTGCACGAACGAGATGCGACAGTAATAATATGGGCGATAACCCAATTAAATAATTTTTCGATGGAGTCGATAATTTGCAGGCGCGCATCGTAATTGAGCATCGTGCCATTCCAAACGGCGCACAGTCGATTACGATTTCCTATCGATGATGAAATTCGAACTGATACGCGGCGAACGCCACTCGCGCGTGCATTAAATCGTCGCGTTCTCTCCTTCTCTCTCTCTCTCTCTGTTACTCCCTCGTTCCGGTTCTCTCTCTCTCTCTCGTTGTAATTATTCTAACAATATCAATATAATAGCGGCCGTATCGGGGACACTCGAACTGGATAAATCCGGTCGAAATTGATCGGCGACGATTATGCAAACCGCACAGTTGTCTATTAATAGATGCGGCCGTGTCGCTCTCGTGTCTCTGTCTCTTCTTTTTTCCCCAATTATAACCAGCTTATGAGAGAAATATTTCTTTTACCTCTTGTCCTACTCCAGTCGCGAGATTCACCACCCTCTCCCCTATTATTTCCATCGGCTCCGCAATTTGTCTTTGGAGGGTGAAGATAATATCCTCTCTCTGTTTTACAAACAAGACACGCTGCCGCCGTCGCACGATTCTCGATTAAACTTTCTCCTCCCTCCCCCCCAACCCCTCGCGTCGGCTTTCTGTCAAGAGAAACATATGACTGTTTACTTCCCCGAGTATATCGCGGAACTTCCGAACCCATCAAAGGATCCCGTTGAGACTGCCAGTCAGTCTTCTCTTCTTTCTAGAGAGAAGCTCGCTTCTCTCCGACGAACAGTAATCGCAAGCAATTCCGAAACTCTGATAAAAGAGTGCCACTTCATCGATGGACTGACATGACGCCGAAGGGGAACTCGTCCGCTATCGTTCTGCAGGTCGATGTTAGAAAGAAAGAAAAAAAAAAAGAAAAAAAAGAGGAAGATCGCCTACCTCGCTTTATCGACACTGACAAATGATCGTAACGAACCAACGACGCGGATAAAAGGAAGAATAGAGGATAGCAAAAAAAGTTTCGTACAAACGGGAAGTGCCCGATATAAATCGAGATCTTTTGCCTACGGCTTAACTTTCCAGGAAGTTCGCGTCTTGGATCTAGCTACTAAAGGCTTATTGTCCGCAGTTAACGGTATTCCGGCATTCAAGGTCATCCAACGGAAATTCTCTACAAAGACTCGAGAATGTTATGTGATTGTATGTGTGTGTTGTTTTCAACGATAGAGAGAGAGAGAAAGAGAAAGCACAAAAAATTACCTATTTGGAACAGAAAACAACTTCAATATATTATTCAAATAATACCGAATAAATGATACCGAATAAAATTTTAATATTAATAAGTTTTGAGTACCTAAGAAATAAAATAATGAATACAAAAATTTATTGTTTTATTCGGACCTGAAAAGATCTGAATAGATATATTCATTTTTAAAATAAATTAAATATTAACTTAATAATAAAATAATTAAAAAAAAGAGGTAAGTTTAGTATACATTAAATTTATAATAAAACGAATTGAAACTCATGCTATAAAAAATACTGTATTTGTTCAAACCTAATTTTAAATGCAAATGATTATATTAATCGTCAAAGAATTATTTAATTATAGAGAATTATAACGTGAATTTATATACCGTCTTATCGCAGTTTTTTATTTTCAAGTAATCTATTTAGAAATTTTACAATTAGATTTTTTTATACACCCTGTAATTTATATACAGCCTCTTTTCTAATAATAAACTCGATCATTTCGAATTCTCTTTCTTCTGCCTCGCACGTACGGATAAACTTGGAACGCTCACAAAAAGTTATACCAAAGTCAACCAACAGGCATCCAGATACATTCCGACGAAATCCATTCTACCGCGATATCAAGTTTTTTGGATCGTCGCCAGGCATCGGCCGGCGACTCTTCGAGAATTCAAAATTTTCCACATTGCAAGACGAGGGTTGCATTCGCAAGTACGTGCGCCCAAGCTGCTTTACAATTAAAATGCATCCCACCGACACCGCCCTATCGCTTGTAAATTCCGTAAGGCAAAGCAAGCTTTTTAACATCCCGCGTCTTGAATCAAATCAGAGATTCCTTCAACGAACATCATTCTATAACACTGTCATCACAATCTCGCTTTTTTACCTGGATGCTTTATATATTTTAGTGACCAAAAATTTCTTATGTGTATATATATGTATATATACTAACATTTCATTTTTTCTAAAAATTTTGTTAAAACAGAATAGTAAATGAAATTGAAGAATTTTTGTTATTTTACATAGAAGTTTTAACTTGAATAAATTTATATATCCATATTTATCAAACATATTTAAAAAATGAATATTACTGTAGACGTCAATCTGAATATTTTGCAGATTTTTTGCGAAAAAATAAATTTTTGATTTACATCCTAAAGCTTTTCAGATACGAGTTTAGAAGGCTGAATTTTTTTATGGATGGCGTTAATTACAAAAAGCACGATAAATAGATCAAACAATTACCCGTTAAAATCAAAACAGATATTTTCTGATACGTTCTTAGCGATCAGCAGTGAGTAATAACAGAAAGTAATAATACGTATAAAGAAGATAAAGTACAATTCTTATGAGACACAAGAAAAAGCACAAAATGGATTAAATTCGGAAGACGAACGATCGTGTCACAGAATTATTCTCGCGAATTCAAGAGAAGGGCATCACGTCAATAAAGGCCAACTGCTATGCGCCGATTCGGATTTCGTCGTCGAACGTGAATGAAATTCGTCTGCTTTGAAATTCCAAACCATCGCCTTACGTCGAGTGGGAAGATCTGACAGTCAAAGCGATACGTCGTGTATAGCACTCGCGAAAATGGAAACCAAATTTCGGTAGCCGGCTCTTGTCTAGTCTCGTGCTTCACACGGAAATGTGGAATTTTGGCAGCACATATCTCTCTCAATATTTTTCCGATAAAACAATTTTCATGTGCAAAATAAGGAACAGTATTTTTAAAAATTATGAAAAGTTACAAATTTTTATATTAGAAGCAATGTGTGTGCTTTATATTTATAACAATATAACTATATTGTATGTTTTGCAAGAAAAGCATCGATAATGTTAAATATTATCAAACCGATATTGTGCAAATAATTCACGAAAGAGAGTATATCTTTTGCATATTTTATTAAATTCCTAAATTAATTACAAATTAATTATAGAAATATGATAATCTCAAATCGTTCAATAATCCTAAAGATACATTAATATAAATATTTTAATTATAGTGATAATTATAATTATTTTAACGGCAATAAATAAAATAATAAAATAAATACTCAAACGTAAATATACAATTAACAATAAATTATTTATTAGCCATAAAAATTCAGAGGCAGTATTCATAAAATATTGCATTTAGTTAACTTAATTTAAATAAAAACTTGTGTTTGCATAAATTCTTTTAAATTAAAATACATAATAAATTTCATTTTTATTTTTAAACCGTATTTTTTACCGTAGAATTTTGTTATATATAGAATTTTATATTACTTAGAAAGAACATTTTTTAATTTTAATTTTTATTTAATTAATTATACTTTTATTTGTGCATAATTATGCACAATTTTATTCTATAAATAATAAAATTACACCACATACAGAAAATATCATATGTGCGCTTTATATTATATATGTACACGTTTCACTCAAATATTTGATATACATAATAAAAAAACAATATTTACTTACTTGTTCCACCCAAACATTTGTCGTCATGATCTGGTTCTTCAGGTTCTGAAAAAGAAAACAGAGAAGAGGATGAGCATGCGATTTCTAGAAGGCGTTATCCTACTTCGTTTCTGGTTACTCAGAGACGGATTTATTGGTTCTTCGAGACACTAGAATGATACTAGAGAACAAAAGAGAAAGACGGAAGAGACTCTTAAAGTGCGCCTGCGAAGATCCCAATAAATCATTCCGCCGTCGAGTACATCCATTTTCTACACTAAAATCTCAGATATATTTTCGAATATACATCTAAATATATGTATATATTATTCTTTTTCCGAGAAGACACTTGTCTCGCGTGACAAAACGTGTCCCCTTCGTTTGCGGTCTCCATACGTAATCTTCGAATAATTAAATATTCGTAACGCAAAAGCCGCACTCGTTAAGAATAGCTCGTTAAAGTAGCTGTATCATAACAATATCACTCTAAAGTTAAATTGCATAAGCATAAAAAAAATTAAAGTAAGTGTATTTTTTTTTAATTACATAGATATCTGGATATTTTTCGATTAACATGTGGTTAAAGTTTCAAGAAATTTTAGAGAAATTAATTTTTCACGATATGAACTACCAAATAAACCGCGCGAGACAATAGTTATTATCTGGGTCTTAGCTGCTGCATGCAGGTCAATAGATACCCCGATCGCGCCAATAGAAACGTCAACGAACATTACAGTAGTTACGGCTCTCGGTATTAAGCCGCGCCTCGATATCAGTAGTCATTGACAAGCGCTAGGATCCGGCCGGCCAACCAGTAGTAATACAATGCGATAATGTTGACAGCAGGTAAGGCATCGTGGCTATCCCGCGGTCACGGCAGTAGTAAGTGTCAAGCTCTGAGCGGACGGATCGCACTACGTGAGGGAATCGTAGGTCGCCGTACCACTACAGCTATGTTAACCGTGAAACGTTAATGTCCTCCGCGATAACGGTTATAGTCCCGCAATCAGTCGTATTGTCGTCAATAGTCATCGCCCGAGTTTCACGTCGGATATGCGAATCTCGGTTAGGACACGGAGGGAGAAATATGACATTCACTTAGCATTGGCTGGACGGATTCGGGGCTTATCTTGACGTTAAAATTTCTACTTTTCAGTTAAAAAAAAAAAAAAAAATTATATTGTAGAGATAAAGGATTTTGTGCGTTCTCAACGCTACAAGAATTTACATGCAATCATGTCGATTGAGCGTTGTATGCACACGATATAGATTTCAATAACAATTTTTCTTAGAAAAAAAAATTAATTTCTCTTTAAAAACTTTTTTTAAGCAGATATATACATATATATAATTTTATTTGTCGTTAATTTTAATTTTTAATTTAAATATCTGGACAAAATTTCAAATTACGTTAAATCCACTAAAAATTAATTAAAGAATAAGAAATTAAATACATAAGGTTTAGTACTAAATTTTTAACAATTTTGACATTTGATAAGGTAATTAAATTTGGATAAAGTAAATTTTAAATAATATTATAATTTATTTCTTGCATTAAAAATGGCCAAGTGGATTTCGATTGATTTGGACGTGAAACTATATCAGTATCTCGAAATGAAACATCGAAAATTTAATAGTATATATATTGAACATACATATATCGTCAAACAAATAAAACAAACAAAAATAAATTCTGTAAAAGCTATTGCCGAAACACACGCGGTGCTGAAATAATCGGTAGCATTAAATTAAACAGAACGGTGGCATTATTTTCAACGTGCAGCGACGCGCTTCAGGATTAATGGCAACGGTTATCGTTGTCCTCTATGCGATGGCGGTTCACACAACGATGTTTAAAGTTCTCTTGGCAAGCATATCATTAGCAATTATCGCGTCGCACGCGCAAACTCGAGAAGCGTACGAGAACGGCACGCTAAGCGTGTAACGGATAGTCACGGCTGTGTAATCAAATATATCGGCATCAACGATCGTCCGCGACGCGTAATAGCTAAGTGATAATAACAGGAGCCCTCGTGAACGTGAGCGCGATTACGATTTCGTACTCAACCATATTAATGTTCGTATATATTCCGGATACGGACGGGACCTGCATCCCTGAAAGCGCGACAAGTGGATATCGTGACCGTGTTCAGTAATTACGGCCACCGAATCGGACATTACGTATTGTTGTGATCGTTTTGGATCATTACATATGCGATTATAATTATAATGCGATAGTGCTAAGCAATTATCTTAGATGATAGTGCGATTCGATCTCTCGCGTGTAGAGAGAATAATAATCACAAAATCATGTAATGCCAACAAAAATAACAATATTTATCAAATTTTCATTTTTTTAAAATCAGTATTGTACATGTGTGTGTTAGTGTGTCCAACTTTTAATTCTAGATATCTTGACATCCCTAAAATAAATATATCGAGGCAAGCTTCTGTCAATTATAATTATACTTGTCAGATTAGATTTTCATCTGTATAACTTATTTTATTCTTTTGTTTGTTTATAATTCAGAAGATATTGACACATTTTTATTAAGAGAAAATAAATTTCAAGTAATTTCAAGTAATAACTGTATAGATTTTACGATTTGTAAAAAGAAAGGGAAAAGATAGATCTTTCTCACCAACAGACATAAAAACTTGATAGCTCGACGTTGGCGCGTATAAACTGAACGCAATATTTTTTTCTTTAAATCTTGGTAAGCCTCTCCTTTGTAAGCATTTTTCGCTGAAAGGCGAAATGTCCCATTTATCGCGAAAAATCACGATACCGCGTTTTACAGTCGCAAAACGGTGTCGTTAACGTCACGTTTAACTGCACATAACAATGGTGTGGGAGTTACTCTACGAGAATCGAAAGTAATCGATGCATTTTCATCGTGCCGACAGAAAAAATATCCGGAATTCAAACAAACGGACAATTGTAAATATCGATAATCCCAGAAGCGTAAGATTAGCTAACATGCTCTCTCATTGAAAAATTACGAATTCTGTTGTTATTGATTCGATCGACGTAAAGATTGATTTGTATATTGAACATCCATCAAGTATGATCCAATAATGTATTATTCTTCATTGTTTTAATCAGGAGAAAAGCGATTTCATAAAGAAAAAACTGTCGTAATTTACTGTAGATTTGATATAATAAAAAACGTAATATATGAATCTAAGAGATTAATAGAGCTCAATATAAACTCAAAAATATATACCTAACTAAAAAAAGATGCTAGCGACAAATTAAATTAATCTCTATCTATCTTAATAATTCTAGTATATGTTTGATTTAATATAATTCAATATATTATATTATTTAAGTCAAAATAAGAGTAACGTAAAAAAATAATCGAGATGTATGCAAAATCACGCAAAACTTGACGCTGGATCTTCTGTAGCTGTCGGTCAGATATCGTTGGTTTAAAATTTTTTAATTCAAAATAAGAATTACGCGCATACCAATTTTCATGAGCGTACATGATTTATCGCTCAAGTTATATAGCCCGTATCACAGGCATATGTAAGCATTCAAAAATTTATGTCATCAAATCATGTGTTATTATAACAGTCAAATAGAAGCATAAAGTGTTTCTTTCGCAACGCGCTGGACGCAAAATATTTTCATTAAATGTTTATCTTCTCGTGTAAACTCCATTACATGTCGTACTACTTTTGCATGCAAACATACGAACGTGAGCATTCGAATAATGAATAAAATTGTACTCGTGCTCAATATTTTATTGAACAAGCCGCTTTCGATGCATATCTGTGTACGAGATTTTATTATTTATCAATTTATACTATGTGTAATTATTTACACTTTGCAATGGACATTATTTACGCATTATATAATCTTAACCAGCATTTAATGATTAAAATTTACACATTAAATTTATTCACAGGTCGAATTACATTTGTTCATGCAATGAATAAATAATATTTAAAAAAAGCGAAATAAAGCTAGAAATGTTCTCGAGAGAGATTTACATATCCTTTAAGATTTTATACGCAATGATGGAAAAGAAGGTTAAACTTTCGAATTTGCAATTTAATTTGATTTCTCTCAATATTACAAAAGCGAGAACTCGATGTCCAGGAAATAAATTACAAGTATCCTTATTTTGTTTCCCTAAATTTTAAATTCTCCTTTCTGTTTAGATTAATTTTATCGCTTTTAATTAATATCTATGATATTGTTATTTATCGAATTATTGTAATTATTCACGCTTTGCAATAACATTAGTTATGCATTATAATCATTATTATACGATTAACACTTAATGATTAAAATTTAAATTAATATATATTTAATATATCAAATTACCTAACATAAGTGGATTAATTTTATCCGACGTAAAGTACGCTAGTTACTATGCGAATTCTATACTCAAACTGTATTAAACTCCGTAACACTTAACCTTCGATTGCAACTCGCACACTTACACAAGAAAATCCCTAGTGAATGCGTTGGCAGAAACTTCCCGAAATGAAACTCGAAACTTTGCGCGAATAGTTGGAAACGATCGTCGCATGCCGCGCGCAATCGAAGTACGCAAAAAATCTGTAAGGAAGTTACGTAAGATTGTAACATATCGCCGATTTAATCGCAAGAAAGGAGAAATGTACGCGAAGAAAGGTAAAGCAGGAACTGAGAACTTTTGCTCGTTTTGATGAAGCAAGAAATGGAATCATATTGAGGCATCGAACAAAGATAGTAAAAATACAGAATCCTTCCATTACGAAGTTTCGAGAAGTACTTTCGAACAATGTTGCCTTCCTACTTCCTTTACGAGAATCTGATTCCTCGATGGGGATAATACGGATTTCACTGACGCACACAGCGTATTGCGAAACAGAGAATCTTAGAATGGTATCAATGATATATAATACATCTACGAATACCGTCCGTGGTTTTTCCGTTCACGCCGCGTCATCGGTATTTGGATTAAAAAATAAAAATATTATTGTCAAATAATTACGATTATTTTAAGATATATTTTAAACATAAATAAAACAAATTATTAAATAAACTTCATTTTTGATAAATAACTGGT